TGCTAGATAGATCTTCATTCATCATCTCCAGAGTCGGGGTATGAAGGACATTTCTCGACTTTGACCCACGACATTGACTGAACGATGAAATAATTTTAAACGATAAACTGAAGTCCATAACTTGTTCTTGTATATAGCGAGTATTGTGACTTGGAATCCCAATTTGCACTCACCTCTATTTGTCTCTGGTTACCAAATATTTTATAAGCTAAACACCATGAGATGCATTGTCTTATGTAAAATCGCCTTTGTGTATCTAAATACAAGATATCCCATTATGTCTTACATTTACACACGCCAGAAAGATATATAGAGGAAGCTATTGTTTAGGAACGAACAAGCCAATTCAAATTTAGTGAACGGGATGTCTTTGTTTCGCAATGACCGTAAAACAGGAATCGGAGATGGAGTAGACTCATACTTGAGATCCTGCCTGGCGGTGCATCAGGCGCACAACCAAGAGTTTACCGATATTCATGAATCCGTATGGTGCTCACTAAGATTATCTACCACCTAGAGATGTAGTAGTCGTCTTCAGAAAACCCACTGTTGTCATGGAGTATGACAATCGTTTGCTGGAAGGATTATCCCTCTCTACTCGTCTTGCATTCACTCATATTCTGATTCTAGGGGGCTTCAATCTTCCTAAAGTCAATTTCGCGGAACATAAGTATATTAGAGGTGAAAGATCGCTTCTTCAACTTCACTAAGGATCTGAGATTATTCAAAAATGTGAAGTCGGCAACTCGTTGGAGAAAAAGTCCGACACTCGCGCTTAGACTATGTACTTACGAACGAAAAATTCCTGTTCGATAAACTCTCACTTCTCGCTCCTCTGAAGAGAAGCGATCACGCCGTCATAGCCTTCAGTTTTATAAGCAAAGGCATCCCACCAACAAGACGCGCTGGAATTTCAAACGGTTGAATGTATCATCTTTACAGGACAATCTACAACAGGTGGATTGGGAAATTCACACTCAACTTGATGTGGATGCTTATTACGATTTCTTACTGCACACGATCTTCTGTACTACAAAGCAGTCTGTTCATCAAATGGTCCCCAAAATATACATGCAACCTAAAGTCATCCAGAACCGCGCTCTTCGTTTGCTAAGCTGTGAAAGGAACTGTTGGGAGCAATACAAACGAACTGATATCAATGGCGTGCACAAGCAATACAAGTATATAAGGAACATATGCACAAAGGCAATAGGAGAGAACAGGATTCAATACCAGATAAAGCTTATCGATAAATTTGTCTCTAATCCGAAAAGCCTATTCCGTTATGCAACCTCTCTTCAACAAGCCAAACCTGACGTTTCGCTACTGCTAGGTCGTAATGACCAGACCAATAACGACGGTGAGGCCGCTAACCTTCTGGCTGGACAGCACTCTCGGACATTTCAACTGACCCATATTAAGTATATTGATGAGAGCTTCATCTACAACTGCACATGACTTTCGAAAGTGAACGTGAGCGTTGACTTGGTGTTCCGGAAACGTAAAAAAAGACATTCCTCTTGGTCTGGATATGGTCCATTCTCCTATACTGAGGGAAGTAGCTTCAATCCTGGCAACACCGCTTAGCGTGATGTACTCACACCCGCTAAGCCGATGCAAACTACCGGAAAATTGGGAGCTGGCTCACATCACACCAATTTTCAAAGGAGGTCGATGCGGCGAACCTTCAAGCTACCGACCGATGGCTCTTCCATCTATACCATCAAAAATTATGGAGTCCCTGATATTCCATGGTATACATGACTGTTTACTATCCTTAAACTTCTTTTCACCACAACAGCATGGTTTCAGGAAGGGTCAATCACATATAACCAACTTGATGACTGCGGTGAACAGATAGACAACCATCCTTGATCGCAAGCGGAAGGTTGGAGTCATTTACATTTATTTCTCAAAAGCTTCTGTTAGAGTCAACCATATATGTCTTATCAATAAGCTCCAACGATTGGGTATCAAACCACCTCTAATTGATTGGCTCACTTCATGTTTAAAACATCGACGTTTTTAAATCAGGGTAAACTCCTCTTCTCTCGGGCTATGACATGTCTTATGGGGTACCCCAGGATTCAGTACTTAGATCCTTCTCTTCCTGATTTATATAGACAATCTTCCACAACAGGTAACATCAAACTTATTACTTTTTGTTGCTGATGTGAAACTTTGGATAGAAATACACAAACAAGACGATATACAAGCACTTCAGGAGGATCTGACTCGACTTCAAAGTTGGGCAGATGACAATCGACGTACCTTTGACACTTCCAAGTGTAAAGTTGTCCATCTGAGACATGTTGGTGACTACACTTACAAATTAAGAAACTCCTCTCTAGAAGTATACCAAGTTGATAAAGGTTTAGGAGTGCTGGTACTTTGCCATTCGAAATATTACGCTATCTGTAGCAAACCTTGCACTGGTAACATTGGTAATCTTTTTGGCCAGTTTGACGGTAGAACTTTCCACATGGTCTTCAAGTTTTATTCTTCCTCATTTAGAGTACGGAAACATAGTATTTCCTCCTCCACTCCAATAGGCTAAGGACACTGTGAATCGTATCCACGAAATCAGTTCGTGGACTCAGATTCAAACCTTATGAAGGACGCCTTTAATCACTAAACCTTTACCCATTAGAGTACCTGCGTCTTAGATGTGACCTTCTATTGGCTTACAGCATCCTAAATACTTCTGGACATCTCCTTAAAGATTAATTAAGCTTAGTCCCAACACAAACCCAAGGTGTAACACCCAGAAACTAGAGACACAACACAGCAGGACGAACTGCAGATACATCTTCTACTCCTTGAGAAGTGTCAAATGATGGAATTCGCTGCCGGCCTAGCTAGTCTATGAGACTTCTCAGGAGTCCCTTAGGAGGATTACTGACCCATTCTTATGGACTAATGATAGTAACTTTTTATGATTTACCAATTGCTTTTTCTTCTTTTATTATTTTGTATATCTAGGTTCCTGCCTGTATGTATTGGTGATCCATTGCTATTAGACAAGAAAGCCCGCTAAACGAAAATTTCTATCCCGCCCACAACCATTTGAACCACGTAATAAGATACGTTAGCATGGGCCTGTAACGCATATTTTCTCATTTCACATGTGTGTAGAATTAAGCACTTTTCCTCCACATTATAAGTGAATAATGCATGTGACAGTATAGGTTTGTCATGCGATTCTCCACAAGCAGGTGATTTCAGTCCCTCAGTTCCACTTTATTTACTTCTTCGTTCTGAGAAAGGGAGTGCGCTGTAACAGTGTTCGTAGAAGGACTGTATCTACATGTGGATGACACAAATGAAAAACTATACAGTTTAATATGGCACTGAACACAAATATGTTTGACAGTCTCACTTTCAGTTTGGAAAGGAAAGGAGGCTTGATGGCCAATGTTAGTATCGGAAATGGTGGTCTCTCAGTTGATCCAACTTTCTTTTGAAAAAAAATCGATGGATGGAGCCTCAATCACGTGCTGAGGTAATGAATTCTACTCATTGATGATTCGGTGGGCAAGTCGATAATCGACTGACTAGTGATTTGTCCTGGGCTTGTGAACTTTGTTGGTGTCCTCGTAAATTCTCTGTTTTGGAAGACATGAGAAATGAGGGCGCATCAGGTGCTAATTTATCACTAAGCAATTTGAAAACTACAATCAAGTCGCCTCTATTTCTTCGATATGACAACGGGAAAAGGTTTAGCTTGACCTGTCAAACATCATACGGGAGCTTTGCTATTCCGGGAATCAGCTTAATTGCTGTTCTCTGAACTTTTCACAGAAGTCCACTATCTTTTTAGTCAGGGGCTAGCCGCTTGTATGCAGTACCTACGTTTAGGACGTACGCACACAGTATAAAAGTCAAAAACCTTTCAATGTTGACATGACTAAAAGCCCTTCGTATTGACCATGGAGGTCTAAAACATTTGGCGGCAATGGTCTTTAAGTCTTGGCTAACGACGGCCCTCAATTCAGTGTCCGGACAACAGGTAGCTCAGCGTTATTTATCGTGTATGAATCTGTACTTCGATGAACGATGTGCATCACAATACACTTGAAATTATTTATTGACAACTGCCAGGTTTGAGGCTTTTCAAATAATTTCCCTTAGTGCTTTTGGAGCTCTGTGCTATCACCCTCACATCGTATCGTCTTCCATATCTTGACATCGTCAGCATATAGCGAGACCGATGATAATATTAGGCGAGGAAGGTCATTTACGTACAAGGGGAATAACTCTAGCCCCAAGACTGTACCCTGTGACACTCTACTAAGCACAGTATCCCAGCTAGATAACTTTGAGTTCACCCGTACTCTTTGTTGGCGCCCAACTAAGAAGTCTTTTATCCACATCAATCGATTGTCTCCGATTCCGACATTTCTTAGTTTATATAACAGGTGGTTGTGTGGAACTTTGTCAAAAGCTTTTCTGAAGTCAATGCAGACTACGTCTACAGGTAACTTCTGGTCCTTAAGAGCGCACCAGCTTTCACGAGCGACTAACTTGTTAGTGAAACAAGAATAACCTATTCTTAAACCATGCTGCTTTTCCGAAAGGATCCGGTTTTCATCGAGAAACTTAAACAAACCCTCCTGAATAATCTTTTCTACGATTTTAAAAATCACACTAGTTAGGCTAACGGGTCGGTAATTCTCAGGTTTATGTTCCGTAAATGACTCTGAGTTGCAGATAGATTGATTCATATACCTAAAGGGTTCGCAACGAAGTTAGCTAAATCCTTTAGTAGCCTAGGATGCAATTAATAGGGTCCCGTTGACTTACCTATATCAAGCTTATTTAGCAGACCAAAGACATCGAGTTATTTAATAGTCACACTGTCCAGTGTTTGTGTGGAGGGATTTGTATGGACTGACGAGAAGGGTGTTTCTATGGTATATATATTGCTAAAGTAGTTTGAGAATACCATTTCTATTGAACATTGAAATAAGTTAGTCACTGTCACTTGGTTTTTATTGTGAATAACCTCATATTTAAGATAAGAGTCCTTAAAACATATTCGAATCAAAATTCTTTCAGTGATAAGTCGTTCAGTTTGGGCACCTGTTTGACCGAAACTATTAAATGTGAAGGTTGTTTAGACTTATAGGTTAACGACCTCCCGAAGTGATTTCGGAACTCATATTATGTTTGAACTTACTAATGTTAGTCAAATGGTGTTTTATGTATCCAGATAGCCCCTTTGTTTGCTCTTATACATTTTTGCGCTTCATAGGTCGAATTCTCGTTTTTACCTGTTATTCAAGGGCATATAACACTCAGGACGTGATTATCTTTCTTAAAATATAAATTTAAGGTTTTTAAAGCTCACCCTCCTATCGTTCTGATCGTTGTCAACTGGTTTTATTCTGGAACCCTATCAACCAACAAAGGGGAAATGGCGTTGGAAAATAAAGGGGAAACGCGTCAAAACGTCTACTTTTTCGCCTGTCCTGGGGAAATAATGCGGAATTACCCCCTTTTTGTCGCTCTGTCGCTCAAATGTCGCTGAATTGTGTGCTTTTCGTCTAAATATCCGCTGAATTGTCTAATATTCACCTAAATATCTGATGAATTGTCTACTTTTCGCCTAAATGCACACCGAATTATCTACTTTTGCTCCAACTTTTAAAACACCATTGGCATAACCCCATAGGTCTCCTATGTTCGCCTTTATCCCAACAACAGACCACACTGCAATCCACGGGTAAAATGACATATGTTTAGATAAATTTATTGAAAAGGAAAAGTGTATTGTTGTACAACATTATAACAGAAGTTCGAGCATCAAACGTTATACATTTTCATTGTAATTCCCGATTCATTGTTATTTGAAAATATCTGCAAAAGAAGATACAGGTGATGTATTATTATTAAGGCATGTGTATTTAATAGCAAGTTCACTGAAAATCAAACGCACTTTCTCAACACTTAAATAGTTCCCCATGTAGTTAAGAAAGTAAGCTCATTTACAAAATAATGTTTATTAAAAAATAAGTAGAACATAAAAAACATTTCACGGATTACTTCATTTAGCCACGCATGTTCGGCTATTGAGAATAGAAATAATCTCCCTGTGAAATCTGAAGTGTAAAGAACGAAAGAAATTACAACGATGTATGAATGACATGCTTTGGCACAGCTAGATACTTGAAGCTTCAATTACGGTTATGTTCGTTAACACTTGACAATAACTATATGGCAGTAGCGAAGTTATCACTTTAAATTAGTACATACCTGTCCTTGTTTCCTCCTATTACGCTTTATCAATTTTTCTCGGACGTCGTGAAAATAAACTTGTGTAGCGATATCGTACAGCTTCGCAAGGTCTTTTTCATTGACAGATGATGACAAAAAGCGATTGGTCAAAGCACCTGAAGTTTAAATAATGGATGTAGGTTACTTCGTATGTAGCCATAAAACCGGCATTTCTGAAGTGCCAAGTAGCGTGAAGTTACTGGCGACCTCAGGTATCATGAGGCACGAAAAAACATATCGCATTGAGGTTTTAGGATCATTATCCATTAACCTCGTTACCATGGCCATCTGTGATACGAACAAATTATAAAATTAATGTTGTTGACTTACAAATCTGTCCCTGGTTTCTTTCTGCTGCAAACCAGTGTCCAGAATCTGCAGTTCCTCTTCAGATGACAAAGGGAACTGCTGACTTGATAGTCCGCAGTCGAATTGATGCGGATGTTCGCGTTCACTGAACTTCGCTAGTAGCAGCTTTACATTTATACTCAAGTCATTTACAGTCAATGTCCTTAACCGATACCCATGTGTGTTCATGGCTAACTACGGAGCACATAAATATTCCTATATCACTGGATGGGAAAGGATCTTCGAAGTAATTGCGTGGGTCAGTGAAAGACCTAAATTTTAGTAGTCCATCCTCCCCTATATCAGTGACTAAACCAGGCTGTTCGTTTACTACTACAACATTATCAGGCTTAAATGAAGTTAGTTTACTATTCTTAAACATAATTACTTGTTTATTGCAGACCTGCTTAGCGGCTATTGGGGTAGTATTAGTTAAATGGCTAACTTGAAGCCTATCGCAGAATGACATTTTCTCAGCATAACGCTGAGCTGCTTACTTTGTAACAACATACCCATTATGCACAAATTTTTGTATTTGTCTCATATAAGACGCTAATGGAAAACCTGAAAAACTATCTAAAGGTCCATGTGCACGAACGTCGTCAGGAAGGTGCTGTAAGAAATGTACATTTTAAACTAAGTTTTCAGACCCATAACACCATTCGTATTCCTTAAGAAAGTTTCGTAAGTCCATTTTGACATTCTACAACTGTATCATGTAATTTAGGATATGCAATCAGATAAATGGATAACGCTAAACACCGGAAATTAAGATACAAAGGTTGGGGCAATGATTTTGCAGAATCACTGGGCCTAAATATAGAAGGAACAACCTACATTCAGAAGTTTTCCATACCGATACGAAGTCCAGTGTACGGCATTTACGCTGAAAGTCGGAGGGAGTACTTGTCACGCAACCAGATATTAAATTATTTATGTCCCTAATTGCACATAAGTTCAAGCTAAGCAATCTTCTATGTGAGAATTCTACCCAAAAATTAGCTAGCTTTTTGGTGACACCTAGGTACACCATGTGCATAGGATCTAAAGGAAAAGTTATGCTAGCATAAGTTTTACATGTGCGTTTTTCGCTCCTTTATTTGATTGCTTTCTCGGCGTTTAGATTGTTATCACTTGACTCAAATGGTTTTTATTCGCATTTTATCATTATCAGTGAACATACAGGCTAAACGGAAATCTAGTGTTCGAATATTGGTGACCAATACTTACTATAATGAGGTATATAATAGTTTTTGTCCTTGTAAAAGTGATAACTCAGTTTATAACCCATCATCTTTATAATCTTGTACTTCTAAGATTGTTGAGGCCTTGTTATACTGTTTGCTTTCATAAGGACTTACCAACTTGTATTTCTTCACTGAATATAGATACATGAATACATATACCTCGTTAAGAGAAAATACATTTCCGTTTTTTATTTACCAAGTAGCGGTCCTGAAGTTCACACCTACATTAATACGACATAAATGCAAAAGCCCTTTGCTGTAACACATAGTGATCTTCAGGATATTCTGCAAGAATTTATTGATGAGTTAGTTGACTCATGTTTGATGGATGGAATTTTAACAATGCATCGTGCAATAAAATTAGGATATTTCCATATTATTGCTCCTGAACAAAATACAAACTTGTCGGATAATCTTGGCAATGGTTCTTCAAATTCAGGCTCTGGCAGAGACCCTAGCAAAACTGCTAGTTGCTGTCGATGTGGGAAGTGTAATTGTAAGGTTGCTGCCACACGTTATGCTGTCCACTTATCTAATTGTATGGGATTAGGAAGAAACAGTTCAAGAAGAGCCAACAAGTAAGTGGGACACTTCTGTATTGATGTTTTATTGAAACTTTGTTCTTGCTAAGGTTACTTTCATGGGTCAGTCATTCGTATCTTTGTTTCTGTTATGAAGTCTACCGTAATAAAGTTTATTGAGACAAACCAACAAGTTATTTGTCTCCCTTTCGAAATATGTCACCCAAAATATCAGCATAATTCATTTCTTGCAGTATTGCCAGGTTCTTTGTTGACAATAGATTTTAGAACCGAAACCTTGAACTGTTTAGATTGACAGATAGCATGTGCAGTCGTACCTCACACCACCGTTGCACGCTTAATAGTCCTAATTTTATTCTTAGTGTAACTTTGGATCTAAATAGAATTTGTGGCAAACTCAATGTGGATTTCCCTTACGTTTAAAATGCCTGTTATTATTTTTTATATGCATGGAATAAAGTGGTATTTGAGGATGTCGAGAGTAATATGGAGTTGGGAGAAATACGATTCTCAAGTGTGAACATATTAAGTGTAGTAGTTATATCTTTCGAAATTATCGATGGTTTACATTTGGGGTATCACACAATATTCTGTACTGGTAAAACCTAAAGTGCGAATGCACTGACAATAATTATAGATATTTGGGGACCCGTATTTCCACTCTACCATTATAAGAAACAAAAACAGCTACTTACATTAGTCAGGGCAGTGGTGTTATATCATCAACTTAAACTCGAATACAAGAGTTGATAATTAAGAAATAGTGTTTTTGTACTTTTAGGCGCATAGCAGAACAACAGCGTTTAGAAGATGATGATACCGAAACCGAGGAGAATTTTTTGGAGTCATCTTCGGGAGACATGATCTCGTACAAGAACTCAGCAACCTCATCTGACCAACTGGAATGCAAATATTCTAACGGAACAGTTAATAATCATCGATCACCCTTAAAACTGACAATCTCTTTGGTACCGGGTTCTGGGAAGCTAGATCACTCTTCCAAACATTCAAATAGACAACCTGACCCAACGGCTGGTGGTAATGAATACAGCTGTCTGGATGGAAATAATTCATTAAAAAATTCCCAGAGCTCACATCTTAAATCAAGCTTACCGACTGTAGTGAGTGAATCCAGCACTTGATAGGAAGTTGGAACGACTCTGTCTATTAGATGAAATTTATGTGAAGCATCAAGATCATTACCTTTTGACTACATTTTACAATATGAAGTTTGTAAATAAAAAGTATTCTGTGATTTTATCCTGAAGTCTTCCTATAACTTTTTTAGTGATTTTTTTATGATATGAACTTATTATTTAAAGAAAATTAGACACTTAGTTACATTTCCCTGTTTCAAAGCCTATTTATATTCCCAAAAAAACCACATTGAACGTATATATGTGCATAAGGTTATTCAGATGGTAAAATAACACAACGTTGGTACGATTTACTAGCAACATCTCGCTTTATGGGTTATGTAAACTAACATAGCAAATACACCCACATTTGCGTATGAGTTCTTAGGAGAAACAGATATTTTAATAGCCAATCGTCTTGTTTGATTGCATAAATTACGGTATGCCAAATGGAATAAAATTTGTGATTGGGTTTCAGGTATCAAACATCGCTAAGCTACAAACATATACTACGGTTCATCACAGGGGAGTTTCTTCTTTCCACAGTAGGAAGATCATAAGGTCGCTGCCATAAATAAACTGAATTAGGATATAATTTGAAGACACTCGTCTCACTGTGTTCGACAAGTACAGTCTCTATATCTAGTGGCTCACAAATAGGAATATTGTAAAGATAACATTATGAACAGCAAAATATTAGGGGTAGTTAAAAAGTGTGGGGATCCTGTTTAAAAAAATTACGCCATAAACTATTAGGAGCCCACAGTATGGTTGTATCATTGGGACCATTGTGAGATGAAATGGGCCTATAACTAAATACTACACGAATGTAACATTTGAAATATCTTGCAATGACTTGTTAATTATTGGGAGGAGTTTCGTAACATTCACGGCAGGTGAGTGACTACAAAAAGAAACCAGGGCTACTCAACAAACCGAAGGACTAGTGCAGTTTTTGACTGAAAGAAAATTAGGAAATCTATAGGATCAGTGACTGAATAGCTATACATATAGAAGCAATGTGTTTGACTATTACGGCGACAAGTGTTTAATTCGTTTCTGCCCATTCTGATTATTTGTGGAAATGGTTGGTTTTAAAATCAGTGCGAATGTTGTTTGTTTAAATGAACTTATAGGAAGATATAAAGACTTTGTTGTCTTCTTAAATCCACCGGTATCGTATCCCCGTTTGTGATTTCGGTTATTAGTTTGGAAGATCTCACTCACTAACAATGACCTACAATGAAACTAAATTATCTGGTTTCAGTATATATGGTCCGAATAATGAAAACAGTGTAGAAATACAACGAATTTGTTTTTGTCAAATGGCACACGTTTAGATCTTAAAATAGTAATTTTTATTGACAACCAGCTTGGGTATGGAGAGTTGTTTGTTTGCATGTATTTATATAGCCAGGTGATCTTCACGGTAAGATCACTAGAAATAGAACGCACGGTCGGGGTTACATTGAAATCTTTAAGATTGTAGGACGTTGTAGATAATAGATTCATCATGCCACTGTAGTCGTTCCTGAATTCTGCATAGACATGATCTTCAAGAGCTGACTTATATAATTACATGAGGGCCATTGAAGTATGTTCAAACGTCTAAATGCAATAAAATATTATTAATAATTGATGTAGGGCTTTTCACTAACACATATGAAACTCCCTTTATGCATGTTCCATAGCTACCAGCACGTAATGAAAAAAAATCAATATAATTAGTCTATTGACCAAAATAGGTTAAGCTGCTAACTTTGTCTTATATTCTATGTAACCCAAACGACTCTGATCTATATGTTCACATAAAACCCATATTTTACATTCACAAGCGACCATCGTTTTACTTCCACTGTTATATATCCATAGATCAAAAGTGTATGTTGCTGAGCGATATAGTTTTTCGAGTGCAATTTTTTATATTAGTGTTAAAATCGATTTAGTAGTTACATTACTCATCATATTTGTTTGTATTGCTTTTCCTAATGTACATAATCTAGAGGAATAATCGCTTTTAAATGATATACAGCGTCACTATTACATATAAAGAGAAAAGTTAATTTTCTGAAGTTTATTAATCAAGAAATGCAGAAATGGCAATATTTTGTACAAGCAGTTAACCAGGAGACAAAAGACTTCAATAAGCTAATTACTCATTTTAATCCATGATGGGAGTTTATGTGTATTTAATGTCAATGCACTATTCCATAGAGGATATTTTTGTAATAATCTATACAGTTTATGATTAGCCTTAGAGAAATACAATTCCATTAAGCTTGGCAATAAAATATTGCGATCTAATTGTTCATAGGTTCTTCCTTTACTTCGACCCAAGCAACCATTATTCCAATTCAATGCGTTTCTAGTAACCACACAAAAGAATCCTTTTTTACGATTGAAGCTAAATACAAATAGTAAGAAAAAAGGGTGTTGTGTTTTTTAATTTAATTGAAGTCATGTCATAGATCTTTTAACATATAGAATAATTTAAAGTTAAATAGTATTAGATAGTTGCTTGAAATTGGTGATGGATAACAGTGAATTTAGAATACACGTTTAGCATATTTGAAACCCACCAACTACAGTGACTTAGATCTCTCTCAGTTGAACGTCTTATAGGAACCTATCCTCCACGTATTGACTTGCAATGGTTACCTGTTATTCAGTGACTTTAAGTTGGTATTAGAACTCTTATTAATTTTCTTACAACTGAATCAATCAACGTCTTTTAACGATCCAGGTTGGTGTATAAATTATTTGGTAATTTTTTACCGTTATATTTTGAATAATTTTAATATTAGCTGAAAATCAGCCTCAAAACGAATTCAAACGTCTCAATGCTGAGTATGAAGTCGACTGAAAATACGTTAGAATAGTCAGCTTCCTGATGAAAAGTTATGGCTTCGGAGGTAAGACTAACTATGAAATAACAATAATAAATACATAAGTACGATTCCTTTTAGTCCTCAGGAATATTAAGTTCAACCTAGATACTAAAAGTTGGAAAACTGGAGAAAAATTTACAGACATAGATAGGTACTACTGAGTGATCTTAAAATAAAGCATTCAATTGAAACTAAATCTCTTTCCTTGATATTTTTTCCCCAATTTCTAGATTAACTTAATTTTACAACACGTGAAATATTAATTTACTTAATTAATATTGTAAGTAGATGACTTATGATATCTTTTCGGTTATGAATTACTTAATATTGGAATGGTGGTAATCTTTTTGTAAGTTCGTGCAGAATTTTAAGTACAACTACTTAAAATATTGACTCTTATAATCCTTTCATTTTTTTGAGAGCAATAACAATTGCATCTTCCATATATCTACTGTAAGCAACCTCACTATGATTTAAGGAGAAGCTTTCGATCAAATTCAACTCTTCTAAATAAGTAAGCATAAATGAATAGCAAAAAATAATCATAGGTTTTAAGGTGTGCATATCAGTTCGGATATATACCGTTTTGCTGCTTGTTCCATGAGTAATTTGCGACGACGAGTATAATTTTCTGAAATACATGTACATGTAAAGAAAAGGTATTCTCACTAAATACAAAAGCAATATTACCATCCAATATTAAGATCACAATGATGACTTGAGAAAATTACTGATTGTGCTACTACTCCGTTACATGTATTTTTGCATTTAGTTATAAAATTAGCTATAAATCACTATTGTATAGTAAATAGTGTGAAATAATGTGTACTCATGATTGGCCATTGAACTAAAACGAAACAGTCGTCCAATACTCTAGTTCAATGGTTGTTATCAGTTAACGATCGGAGTCATTATGAAACTATAAAAGGTAAAATACGTAGAAATATATCTGTGAAATATGCCTTCATACTTACTGTAAGTATTGTGAATAATCTAACTGCCTACGAACTAATATAAATTGCTGCACAATCCTCATGATAGGCACCGGGTTTCGAGAAAATCTATCGGCGTCTAAAAGTAAGAGCTGAAAAGAAGTTTGTTAAAAAAGAAAAGATCAAATATTTGGATAAATTATTGCAGAAACAACACATGATATACATAAAATTGGAACTAAAGAAAGTAATATCCATATATATTTTTTAAGTTATATGATAATAGCTCAGATTAGTTGTAGATTCTGATAACAGAAATGTATTCATTTATTATGTTCTTTTAAAGTTAACATATTACTGTTGGTATATTTACCTGTTTCCTAATCTTCTTATTACATCCAATAACTTCCTCAGTACTCCTAAAGTTTGATTTGAGGAGAAACTCAGCCATTGTGATCGGTTCCTACCACTATGCTACCTAAACAGCCAGAGAAGCTACATTTTATCAAGTTACTGAAATACGATTGAATTAGCTACAACTATTATTTGAACATATCCTGATACTTTTAAATACTTATGTAACATAAAATTTAACCAAATGCCCATTCATCATAGTCTGTTTAAATTTGTATTTCATTTACTATATAACCTTGGCTAGAGAAAATTGTCTGATTTAACTAATGCTTTACTGATCCACTTTCACATTACATCTTTCAATAATGGCATCTACAGAATAACAGTTGATAACGATAGAAATAAAATGAACACTATTGAAGAATTGAAAAAATCAATCAGACAACTAGTTAAATAAATTAGCGTGACGGTGACATGATGCACTGAATGGAATCCTCCAAATCTAAACGCTGATGGGGTGCAAAAATCAAGGTTTATATACTTGATGATACTTAGTATTGTTATATCTATAGGTTACATTCTTATTGTACTGCGTGCAATTTAAGCACTCTAACGCTAGAACCCTCAAAGTCGCAAATGAGAAGACAAGTGAAAGGAATGCTATGTCAAACAGTGTCAAATATAATATAAAACTACCAAGTATTTATAGTCTTTTAGTAAAAACGAAATCATCATTATAGTCATCCAATCCGAGTACAAGGGGTTCTGGAGTATCCTTCCTAAAGATGATTGGATGGAATATCTTTGGCTGTTTCTGAGCTTCATAGAGCTTCCCGGAGTTCACCCGTGAGCTGTTCTCACAAGTATAAAAAGAAGCAAAAGTAAACCTGGAAAAATTCACAGGTTATTTAAATCAGTAGATTTTTTACATATTCAAAATCTGTGGATTCAGTTTTCTACAGAATCATAATTCATACACGATTTGATATATATATGGTGCTATGAAGTACCAGGAAGCCTGTGTATCACTCTTTGTTATCAATTGGAAATTGTTTGTAATACACTTAGACTGTTCAGAATACGTATAACACTCATCAGAAGATTACCTTATGATAAACGCTTTATATGCAGACGGCAAGACATTTTTGTTGCAGTTTTACGCTATACAAACAAGATAAATGATTACGTGATGTATCCAGTGATCAAAATAAACCCATTTAACTTGGAAGAAATAGGGATAAATCGGTTTAGCCTTTTTCCCAATAATGTTTGTAAATTGTAGTAGACGAAAATGGATGTTAAACATGTTTCATCTTTAAAAAAGTAAACTAGCAAATGAACAAAGTGAATAAGTACCTGTGAGGCCGGAAAATATGTCAGCCAGTTACGTAAATGTTGTTCGTAATTCCCTGGACCAGTGCATCGAGACCATAAGTGGTTAATGCTTGAAACAAGTTGTCGCATTAAACTTGAATTATTAATGTCGATAGAAAGGTTAGAAAATCTATCAGTTGGTACAATGCTAAGTAGAGTAGCCTCAGTTAGATTATGACCATACTGCATCAGATCAACAAAGGACAACAACTGTGGAGCAATATCTCTGTGGGCTAAACGATGCTGTATGGAAAAAACATAAATAAAAGTAATGTTTACAGTGAGAAATACGATTGGTAGATATATACTGTAAGTTAATCATACTCATGGCAATGTAAAACAGTAATCGCGGTGTTGATTTATATCAAGAGCTGATAAATCTTAAAGTAAAGGCTACGACTCTTAGTTTACATTACGAGTACGCTGCTCTTGGAAGTGATCAACCTAAAATTCTCTAAACGTAATCTTCAGTTGAACTAATTCATATTCACTCTTACACGATAACTAATAATTCGAAAATCAGTAGAAATAGCAAATATGCAAACTAATCAATCATAGCAAGATTGTAACTAGATAAAGAAGGAACTCGAACAATAGTGTATTTCTTAAAATTTAAAATACTTCAAAATAAAAAAGTAAATAGACAAGATTATTCAAATAGATTAACAGAGTTAGTAAAAAAAGCGTAAATGTTAGCGCACAGAAAATCACTGGATATTATAACGTATATTTTTAAAATGAACAACTCTAAGGACAAACTTAACAGTGAGAGAAATGCATAAATCTCTATATGTATGTAGTAGACATATAGATTTGGATTAGATTGACATAAAATAACAAAAATTCTTTAAGCTTACTTGATACCATGAATAAGCTCGTTCAATTGGATTGCGTAGAAGAACAATCAATTTCACCTTGGGCATTAAAGCATAAATTCGTGCTGGAGATTTAGGATTATCAAAGTACGTAGCTGATTTTTCAAATCGTATTTGTTCAGCAGCATAGCTTTTTAAATAATTAGATTTATTATTGTTAAAATTATAAGCATGCGTTGGAGATATAATTGAATTATTCGGAAACTGGTTCATATACCAATGTACACCACGTGAATAAATATCATCAGAACTGAAAAATTGTAACTCCTCGAAAGTAGAATCATGTTGGAATCTATTAGACATTAATTCAGGATTTAATAAAAGAAAATGTAATAGAGCTGTAGAACCTATATAAAAATTTGACAAAAACAAAACAAGAAAATGAAATTGCACCATATATATAGGCTACAATTAACTAAACATTTTAAATTTTCTTCAATTAATTGTAATTTCAATACAGTTATGACATGTTAATTAATAAAATTATCTTAAATATTCTAGAACTATCAGCCCAAATAATTATAAAAGCCTTATTAAACTTTAGTGCTTAAATCCTTTCACATTGTGAACGGATTATTTGTTAATAACTGACAATTCATTTTCCAACAGTAACAGTTTAAAGTTGAACACTGGTATCGTTGGATTACCAAATCAGTGGTTTAGAGGTTAGGAGTCCATGTACGAGACCGAAGGTCCTAGGCTCAATTCTTGCGCGCGGGATGGTGGGTGCACACTCCCGAGGAATACCATACTAGGATGAAGAGGTCGTTCAGTGCTTTCAGGTTTCCAATAGTGGTCTAACATTGTTTGGTACATAATTTAATTTAAATAAAAATTTTGTTTACATTCATCAAATTGAACTATTAGCTGAATCATTAGTAGTTATTTTCTTAAAAATTTTGTTTCATTCCTCCAATAAACCTTGATTTCAAAAACTGGTATATATATATATATATATATATATATCCGAGTACTTTGTAATATGGGAATTTTTTCAAAAATTATGTTAAGAATTAGAAATATTTAAATATTTTATTTTGTATGTAGCTGAAGAGAAAAACATTTCACTAAATTCGATAAAATAAATTTTCAAAAAATATATATACAAAATAAAGAGAACTTGTGAAAAACTAAACAGTTGTAAATTTAGAACAAACCAGTTTTTTGAGGTCCAATAATAATAAAACTAGGTAAATGATCTGATCCACACGGCCAATCACTTGGCCATAACTCATGAAGATGTGAATTAAGACAAGGATCTGAATACAAAGGAAGTTCATTGACACCGTATAATTTGAAACGTTCGGAGTAGATATTAGCTAATTCCGAAGGAGGTGATGTAATTAGCTTAATATTCGTCCAATTTGTCATGAATTCAAAAATAGCATTAAATAAATAAAGAGCTACTCGGTCATTTCCATAATTGACAAGATGTGTCATAAAAATGGACACCTGAGTAATAAAGATAAATAATAAGTATTATGATCAATACTATGTAATATTACTATATTTACAATAGACGTAATCGGACAATACAAAACATTTTATTAATAGGAATTATAATTTATCGTTATTTAATCTATCACCAATTTATAAATTACCGAGGGCCTGGAACATATAGGCATCAGACTGGAAGAAAGTGAGCAAGTAGTAATGATAATATAAACGGTAGTAGAAGTTAAATAAGTATAGAAAATATAATTCGGAAAGAATGAAACTGAGTGACAGAAAAATTTAAAAGAATATTAGCATCCAACAAATAGGGTGGTGGGTTTATGCTGTTGAAGTTTAGTTTGAACTACATGACGATCATCCCGCGAAACTACATCAGAGTTCATATTCTTCTAGATAGGTCAGACCAACAATAAATAACTTCATAGACTAGTGCTACCTTGGTTTGACTACTTCTAACAATGATAATTAATGTCATTAGTAAGGAAAAACGGTAGCTGGATGAGAATAACAAGTGACCGAAACATCTCATTACTATTATTCATACGTATTAGATTAAACTGATGAAGTATAACTAGAATATGAGCTTTCTGTCTGAATATTTGATGTTGACAGCATATCAATATACCATACAGTGCATAATAGGTTTTATGACATACATGTTGATTCTGTATAAATTTGTCAAAAGTACGGGTATAATACACACTGCCGATTTAATTGAAACCAGATCACAACTGTTTTGGTTGTTGTTTAAACCCAATGTTTTAGTAGGTAATAGTTTCATAAGGATGATGTAAGTTATTTGTCTATAAAGTTTATCATATATTAATAATCATCAATGATCATTCTCTTTATGCTTGATTTTTAAAGATTTCCTCACTATTCAGTTCATATTGAGATTTATAAGCACGTTTCAAGTATTGTTCACGTGTAGTAGTGTAGTGAACGACAACACAAGTGGGGACAACCAAACGTATTTGAATACATAATTACACAATTTCTTAGTAAAATCTGAGAACCATACAGTAAACACTTCATTTGCAAAATGCCAATCAATTGTCTCAGAATTGATTGTTTCCTTGTTTCCACACCAAGCACTCTCTGTTCTCATTCTCTTCTCTTCGATCTCCTTAACCTTCTGCCGCTATGCATTTCACTTTTGGTTGGTGATACATACATGTTTGTCAATATCAGTAGCACACACCACAGTAAGACTAATTGATGAGATATGTTAAATTTAAAAGTCAGATCTAAAGAAATTAATGTTAATAAACTGATTTCCTTTCTTTTCAGGTTTGATTTCATTATTTATCAGTAGTTCACTTAATTTATTACTACTCTGCAGTTGTGAAGTGCTCTACAAGTTTCCAGACAGTTTTTTATCTCCTTGTAATGTAACAATTTAATCGATCAAATCAGTCAACTTGATTCAGAACTAGCTAAACAGATTTCGAGCAACACTAGCAATTAAAACACATATCAACTTGTATGGTATAGTGTACTAATAGAATCTCAAAGAGATAATCGAATGACATTAATAATGAACGTACCGGATTGAACAGAAACGTGATAAATAGTGTCCCGCCGAAAATATATTCATTTAACTGTTTTATTCCGCCTCGTATATCCTCGGAATGAGGCGTATGAGTGTAAATTCCACAGGTTTGACGAGGAAGAACCTGCAATGACACGATAATATTGGTTAGGTCTTTGAGCGAATTATTTTAAAATTTTAACCATATACTTATAAAGCTGAGCATTATTAATTTGGCCACCTTTGATTTGAATAAATAAGATTTTAGGTGATCTACCATTGAAAAATGATTAGTTTTTAAAACTAGGGATATTTACATATTGTTGAACGTTTTACACTGGTATAAACATTATAGTATTACCATCGAACAAGTGAGTAAAGTGTTAATCATCAATTAGTCAAGTGACTGGTTATTGTACTTGAGAGATTTATCAGTCAGTTACTTAGTGGTCTCAAGTTTAATATTTTACAACATAAATATGCCAGTTACAAATACAATGGACCAATTAAGGTAGCTGCAAAACTCAAACATCCATTTTCAATTTCTTAGATAGGTATATCCATACAGTTAATATATTAGGTTACTAAAGTCAGTTTAGTTTATAGAGTTGACTACACTTCACTAGCATATAAGACATAGATATAATGCCATCATATCTAGATTTAAGTTTCGAAACCCAAATCGAATTTGGCCACACATACTTGAAAATTTCGGAATACTGTATACCATAATATTCAGTTAGACTAACAGCTAAATATTAAAACACTTGTGGGCCCTCAAGATTTAATAGAGTGAGCGAGCGGCAACCGTCAATCAGCCTAAGGAACGAGATGGAATTGTTAATTCCTCTATGATAAATGTGACTCGAAACTTAACATAGAAGTTTAAATTATTACCGATATGATATCTGTATATTTACTATTGTCAATTAAGACAATATAATATTCATTAAGTATTAACCTGTCGTACCCTCAAACAGGTAGCCCGACCATTCGCTCTAAATTCCACTGAATATATTGGGTGTACACGTCCTAAATTAGTTAGATTCTTTAATTACTTTTGAAGCTGCAGACTGATTAACATTTGTGAAGATTTATTGAGTTAATAATATGTTTGGTGCGAATTAGATACTGAACATAGGTTCATTAAAAAAGAAACTTTGAGTTACGCTTGTTATTCGATTGTTAGAAATATTAACTTGCTGACAAACCGAAATTCTAACCTGAAATATTATGGCTAAAAATCAACTTCTCAAACCACATAAAATACAGATGAACTAATGAATTCACAGATTTAAACAGCCGAACAAACCATATATTTTATTTCCAACTAAAACGCATTCTTATTCCGAATAGGAGTTTAGTATACAAATCTCAATAGTTATTTAATTGTATAAACTTCTACCCACCGTATATACAGCAGAAACTGATACATTTGAACAGTATAGAAGAATATTTTGTAGCAATCAGAAACATGAGTACATTACATCGACTTCTCAAGAAATGTTACCTGAATATTATTGTAACGGAAACCCAAACGAAAATCAGATGATCTGCCATAAGGATAATGTATCGTAGATGTAACATTTACATTTGACACAGTACGCCATGCTTCATAAAGGTCAGGATATACAGGATAAACTCCAGAATGACGAGGCGCAACAGAATAACCAATTTGAACTGGAATATCATGTTCCTAAAATGAACCATTGGAATAGACCAACAGTATTTCATTAAAAACCATGAAGCTGTAATAATTAGCGATAATGAACATAAAACTTAGTGACCAAGAGTAAATTTATAAGCGGGTCACATATCACATATACTGCGTGACATTAGTTAAATGTTACAAAGTGGTATATGGGGCAAGATTAAAATAACTAACTCAAGTCGATGGAGCAAACCAGTAAAATGGTACTCCTAAACCAGTTTTAGGACTATTATAGAACTATATAAATAACACGACAAAAAGATATCGAACGGTTATTTAGCTTGTATTTCAAGTTATTCATCAATAAAGATTTCTAACTCTGTTTGTGATCTCACGACGACGAGTTCGTCATTAAAAGTGTGAGAAGTTTTGAAAAACACATTTCTAATATGAAATATTTGCACATTTCTTACTAATTTTACGTCAATTTATTATGAATACAAGTTTATAGCTGATGTTATTGGTTTTGTCATTAAAAATTCAAATGATCCCATTTCTTACCTTGGCGAATACTTGATTGCGTTCTATATCTTGTTGAATAAATGTTTTATTCATCATATGGGGTCTACCATGATGCCATAAATGACTAAACCACCAAAATTTATGGCGATTTTCTGGCGAAAAAAAAAGTAGTCACATTTAAAATACAGAGAAATCGCATTGTTGCTAATATCGTTGATCTTAAAGTTTGGTTTCTTCAAAATGAGCGTTTTATTGTTAATCTAGATGATTAAGGTTCATGCACTTTTTCTAAAAATAAATAAATCTTGAAGGATGAAAGATCTCAACGTGAAAAGAAAATGCAAAATTAGTCGAGTTTTAGTAAAAATCAGGTAAAATTCTGAAGTTTTCAAAACTTTTTGAGAGATGAATATGAACATTAATTGATCCACTATTAAAATATAATAGAAGTTAGCAGGATGAAAAAGTTGTAAACATCTTTATTTTAAAATAATGAGATCACGGACTAATTTCATTTAGGCTACCATTAAAAAACTCCGCCTGTAGATCTTAAAGGGTTACTGCCGGTCCCAAGCCCGAGTAAAGTAGGAGGGTCTGGCATGGGGTCAGCCACTTCGCTCCATAGAAAACAACATTACTAAAACACTCTAACCAGAAAACATAATTCAAACCATTTGAAGTCTATCCTGACAGTTGGAGAATCTTCATTTAGGAGAATTATGACGTCTCGTGGTGAAAGCCGATATTCCTCTGGATTCACGAGACCGATATCTCTCCTAACGACCAAGCGACAATTAATATAGATACACGGGGTGTCCGGACAATCTTGGAGACCGGGAGGACCAAGCAAACAGCCACAGAAATGAAGAGATACAACTTGGCGGTTCTCGGAATAAGTGAAACCCATTGGACCCATGCTGGATAGAAAAGATTAGCTTTGAGAGAAGTGTTATTGTACTCTGGTCACCAAGAAGAAAATGCTACACACACGAATTTGCTCTGATACTGTCCAAATAAGCACGTAAAGCACTCATAGGATGGGAATATCATCATTCCAGGATCATCAAGGCACCATTCAAAACAAAGGAGGGGATCACAATGAATGTTATCCAGTGTTATGCACCCACAAATGATAGCAGCGACGACGATAAAGATCCGTTTTACAAGGCTTTAGTCGATCATGGCGAAGTGCTCAGGAAAGGATCTAATCACACTGGTGGGAGATCTAAACGCCAAAGTCGGAATGGAAAACACCGGATATGAAGATATCATGGGACGACATAGACTAGGAGAAAGAGACGAGAATAATGAGATTTGCGAATCTATGTCTATTCAACAAAATGGTTATAGGCGGCACAATATTCTTCCATAAAGGCATACACAAATCTACATGGGTCTCACTGGATCACACTAAGGAGAATCAGACCAATCATATTTGCTTCCCTTTGGCGAACGTAAGAGTAAGTGCAGGATGAGAATTTCGAAATTGAAAGTCACCACTGTATATGTCACACCTCAAACGTTGGAAATGAAGTGAAATATATGAGCTGGTCCATACAGTAAAAAACAAGATAAAACTTTAGATCTTACATCCTTATCATAGTTTACCGACGGTCTGATCATTCAAGAGAAAATTGATGACTCGAATAGTTTGACAGAAAATACATTGGTAGACTAAAAAATTATGTTTCTAATCTAATTTAAAGTATGCGTTTTATAAACGTTTTACGCAAACACTAATAGTATGTCCAGAAAGCAAACATTTCTGAACTAACGTGTTGTCAATTTCTGAATTACTTAGGTAATCAAATACGATCTCAAAAACTTACTCATCATATCAGGATTAATATCAATTATTTAGAGCGAAGTAATATAAAGGCTCTTTTGACGAATTATGAAAGAAAAACCTGAAAAATTTGCGGGACCTAGTCAGTTTTATGAAAGAGTAGGAATGTAAGATGGGATGGAGTAATCCATTTTGACCACAACGAATGCAATTTTTCAAGATAATTGAGACAAAATAAATATACTTACGTAAAATGTAATTGTAAACAATTTTATCTGACCAACGTGATTTACTGAGAAATGCACCACAGAATCCCAGATTAAATGTAAATCCTGGTATAAAAGTGCGCCAGTAATTTTGCGCTTTGATCATAGCCTTTTAGAATAGACACATATGAATAATTGGTTGCAAATATAGTAAATCAATTTATTTGCATACAATACTCGTAAATAGAATAAAGTATAGTGCCTTTTTTAAGAACCCACACATACCATTCTATAAGATAAGCAATAAAGTAGTATTTAGAATAACTTAAAGATGACAAAGAAAGAGGGTAAACACGAATGATCACTAGGTTACTAAATTAATGCTCTGATGTGACAAACAATGACTTAACCGATTGGGGTGCGAATGACTTATGAAGTTGATTTTTCCCAATCGTCTGTCACGTGTAATCATGCTTTGAGAAACAGCAATTACATAACTTTGTCAGTTATTTTATTTATTTATTTTAACACATAGACATTGGTACAAGGAGGCACCAAATACATATGCGCCACACAAATCTCATTCGATATGTGTGAGGGCTGTGATACTGCCCGGGTGCTCAAACCGAAGCAGGTGGTTATTTTAGGAGGCCACACCCCGAGCCTTCGACCTGAAGGTCTGATCCACAAGGCAGTGGAGCATCGTAAGGAGATGCAGTCCCATGGAAGCCGGTGACCAACAATTGGTTCATACGCCATTTGTTCCCGCAGGATACTGGAGCCCATGTGCACCATTGGTTTGGAATCCGGTTAAAGCGCCGGACATTCGCTTTTTGTCCTCTCGTTTTCGTAAACAACACCCCTGCCACGAGAAGGCAGCGAGTAGAACTTCCCTGGCAGAGACCATATACGCGTGGCCATGTGAGAGCATTTCGAGAGGGAGAGCGGACTATCCCCACTCTCGGCCGTACCAGGGCATTTGGGGGCACTTTGTCAGTTAGTTATATTTGTTTGATGTTAGATGTTTTACTGTATAATATTTTAAATGTGTTCACATAGTACGTTATTGATTATTTGATGATAAGTACTACTCACTTCAAATTATGCAAATCCGACTGTAAAGAAATCATATAAGGTGTGTCAAATAAATCCATATAACCAGTCTTTGTGTTCTTATTATGCAACGTCGGATTCGGGATCTCAGTACTAAGTACAAGTTAGTTAAATATTCGGCTGTACCATGGCATTTGGGGGCTATTTAATAGGTGGGTGGTGGATAAATTAGTTTACATATACAGTCTTGTTTTCTCTCTTGAGTCAACAAGGTAGTCTCGTTCCTTTGTAATAAGTAGCAGTTATTACACAGTCACAGCAAATGGTCGCGCCAGTGGCAGTAAACAGAATTCAGTTCCAAGTCATAACCTCGATAAATTAGTCTTGTTCCCGGACATTACATTAGGGGCAACTCCAAAGTAATATCATACAATTAATGAAGTTCTTTTAGGAATTACTTGGATATAAACTAAAAGAAAGTCTGGTTTCTTTTCTTCGCAAAAAACAACTTACATTTATGTCATCAATTGACTGATGCACATTTCGATCTGGAACAAACACATCATCAATATCAACTAGGACCCACCGCAGTAAATCAAGTTCATTTAAAGCTTGAATAAAAATAAAAAAATAATTATGAGGGAACAAAATCAAAAGGAACAAATGTACAGTTGAGTTATATAAAAGCGTAAGGTATTATATCTCTGAACAGTTAACTCATTGAGATATATATCTTTTGCACATACGTAAACATTCACTGTCCAACTATGATGTGAATGGCGATGTGATATGGAACAAAGACTAATTTAAAATGAATATAACTATATTAATCTGTAGGCGAAGAACGCCACGAGGAAAAGTTAGGCAGGAAATCCAGGGTAGGTGGTGATTCTTAAAAAAAATTCCTCCGATGAAAACCTATTTTAATTGTGAACTAGTTATTGATATTGCTTGCAAAGTTCCTATATTGAATCAACCCCTAAAGAATTCAAGGATAGATACAACAGACAATTCCTAGAACAAGAATCTTTACATCTTTTGTCATAAATGCATTATTTAAACAATAATATTTAAATAAACATCAAAGGTAATATGACTATTTAGTCTTCTAATAAATTAATATTTATTTTCCTCAGGAAACTTGATTTGAATAATTACAAAGTATTTAAACAGACCAGATGTAATTATTAATGAGAATATTCTCTCTGAAGAAATTGAAAATGCTCATATTTTTTCAAGAGAATATATAAAAGTTATCGAGCATTACAATGATTTTATCCAAGTTTATATCACTTGGAATAAAATGCGTATTTGAAATAAAGGTTCAGAGAAAGGTGAAGTAAAAAAAAACATTTCAATCGAAGATTAATATTAATACATGGGTTGGTTGGAGTAGAGAAATAGAGGCTAGAAATTGAGATGGCGGAGATTTGTAGCTCAAGTGGATGATTTTGGTGGAGTTTTGTTCTCTGAGCTGGATGGTTTGGTCGTGGAGCTTTCATCGTCCTTCTGAACAACATCATCAGCACAAACTTCAGATAGAAGTGAAGTGTTCGAATTTCTCCATATGTGTTTCACAGCTCGTTCTGTGCACCTCGATGTTGATTGGTTCTTATTGACCTTAAATTTATCATTGTTTACTTCTTTGTTCTGGTTGTTTCTCCCATTGGTTTGGTTTTTGTTCCTATATTTATGCATGATTTTCCTGATTGGTTGATAAATTGGATTGATTTCAATATGTTTGTTGATTGCTGATTGACCTGAGTGCCAGGCTTCTAAAAATTCTCTGGTGTTTTTGGAGTTTCCTCTGTTTAAGATTTCTACATTTTTCTAATCGAATGAGTGTCCGTAGTTATCCACGTGTATTGATATAAGTGACGAGATATCATGGCGTTTGACCGCTAATTGATGTTCATGTAGGCGAAGGTGGAGGGGGCGTCCGCTTTGTCCGATGTAGTGTTTGCCGCAGTTGGAAATATTTTGTATAGGAAACAGTGACTGACTGTTATCACAGTGCCCTATTGTGGATGATACGTTGGAAGTTGTTGTTTACAATGTGACAAGTCTGTAGTAAGCGAGCGTATTCTTTTATTTGAAGAACTCAACATTTGCGGAGTAAGATTGAGTTTCCTTATTCTGACTGGTTATCAGAAAATTGCAAAGTTAATTAAGGAGGCATTAGGTAGAATGGATAGATGATATTTCGAGCCACAAATTATATAACTGAAGGGTTATTAGAACCCTTAGACATTCAGAAATTTTAAAACTGAAGCCGAAAATTACAAATCAAATGAAATCTGTTGAGAAAATTACTCGGTTTGCTTCATAAGCTAACTGTTACTAAGTACCATAAAGTTTCTGCAACATAAATAAATAGTGGTTTTATAGGTTTATAACTTGTCAGTTATGAAATAGGTCAAGATGTTTCTATATTTCACATTAACTAGGCTACGATGTTTTACTGTTAAAGGTTATTTTAATCACGAATAATCACACTATCCTATTCTTAATATAAATAATTAATTGAAGCTGTAACCGTACATAAAGAAAACTGACAAAACCTTATGTCATAAAGATACGAACAAATACTCAAATCTTTGAATTTATACAAAATTACGACAAAACGTCTGCCACCATCCAAGACTGAAGCAAGAAGCTCATGTATTCTTAAACATAGCTGAATACTAAATACAATGCAGGGTTAGGATATTACACTATTAAGTGTTCTAGCGTAATTCTCAGAACTATAAGAGGCTTATTAACACAATCATGTTACTATATATACCTAAGGACGCTTACTTCTTCGATGTTAATGTATTTTCTTCTGTGAATATTACATTGAAATCAGGTGTTTCTTCTTCGATATTTCAGAAACGATCCTGAGACAAATTTACCGTAGGAAGATGATCCATTACTTTCTGTTACATATTACTGAATACCTTTAGGACATTTGGTTTATGTTTTGGTTTTCAACACACGAAAATAGAATATACGGATTGCCCAGAACACAAACAAAAATTAACTATCAGTAAAAATATCGTTACATAAATATACTTCAATGGTTTACATTGATCCAACTGTATGAAGAACTGAGAGATAAAACGGGATAATCACTTTGTTAGTTTTCAGACCCGAATGACGAAAGATGTCTAAAATTTGCACTATATTATACACTAAAATAACTATTACCATGTGTTATACTGTCCAACTCTAGAATATAGTAACTTACCAAAGAGGGTAGAAGATGAAACAAAGAGAGTGTATCATTGTATGAAAAAACGTCAAATATCGAGATGAAAATCCATAAAATAACCAGTTACAAGTAGAATATATTGAACTAAAGTTTTATTTGTTTCAAAAGAAAGAACATTGAAACCAATATGCAATGTCAGACATACATGATGATATGTTCATTTTTGAGACAATACCACTAAACTGCGAACTGAAAGGATGAGACGATGGTGGAGAAGCGTGGAAAGTACCTTTTGATAGGTAGACAATAGTGTCAAGTAGCAATATCGACGACAACCAAATTCCTCCAGGACGGAAAGCAAAAAGAACACGTTGAATTCCATCAAATAAGCCAACATCTTCTAAAACCAAACTTTGGTAAACTGGAAACGTGCCACTGTGAGACTCTGTGGAGTAATCCTTTAGAGTAATGACACAAAATGTTTTTGTAAAATTTCGTCCAACAGCAAATAAAAGATACATTGAAATTTTTTACAATATAAAATAAAAACACTCGTAAGGCTATTTATACCGGCATAAGATCTACACAAGAGTGAAAATGAAGTACGGAATATAGATCTACAACTTCTTAGAAATTGCCTTAATCCTCATAACGGTTCTAAGGAACGACAGGAAAATCCTGATAGACAAAAACAAGCTTAAAATTTGTCGGATTTTCTCCTTTCTTTCAAAATCAACATCGTCAGTAGTAGTTTTAATAATTGCAACGACAACGATTACAATACTTTAAAATTATGGAATTCGTAGTCGATTATAAAACGGAGAAAACTGTTAAAATGTGGGATTATAATTGTGCATTATGACTGAGAAAATTAGAGTCAAAGCGGTATCATTTTAAGATTACCGAGAAAATTCTAACCGACCATGTTAGGGATTAAATAGACAATGATAGAAATAGGTAGATGATACAAAGAGCAAAACATTACTTAAAATAGACGAATTTTGACCACAACTGAAAATATAATTATTAAATGGGAATTTAAATAATGAAAAACTGTTACCAGGATAATTAGAAGTCAAACAATAAGTTATTCGCAGATCAAATTTCTGGCTTAGACCTAATTGAAATGACCTCCGTAAGCCAAGGTAAACTTGAATTGAATTATCAACCGATTTTACTTAAGAGATATTTGATGTAAATATCGTTCCCAATGTCCCATAGATGACAAGCTACTGTACTGTTGATGACACTTGATTTTAGATCGTATCCGCTTACTGCTCTACTTTGAGCATTATGATTTAACATTGGTAAACATGATTTTGACCAACGTTTTCGGTTATCGATTGATATCTGACAATATCTACTTTATTATTATAGCTACAACTTCTTCGTTTCGGTCTAGTATTTTAGAATGGAGTGCATTTTCGACCTAACTATAAACCTAAGCAGAAATTGTGTCCTCCAATCTCAAATAATTAAAGTTGTGAAACCCCATTATTAGCGAATCAACTGGTAATCACATCATCATCAAAATGAACCTAAAAATTAGACACGATTTATGACATGAAAAATAAAGAAATTTTATTTAGGGTTATTTAAACAAACTCTTGGGTTTTTAGGTTCTACAGAGGTTAAACATTAGTGTTTTTCTAATTAATTCAATGTGATATCTGTGAAATACATATACAAACTAGATTTTTTGTACTTCCATACAAATCGAATCTCCCTACAATTTTAGATTTTAACTACCATAAAACGCAGGGGAGACGGGACAGTCCAACATTCAGTTTGTAGGAAAAGTAATTGGAATGGCCTCTACCTGAATTTCAATAGTTTTTGTCCAATTAGTTACAAGAAGGCATTGGTTAAAACACTATTTTACAGGGTAGAAAAGATATGTACCACCGACAAACTGGAAGGACAATTAATGAACGTAGAAAAATGTCTAAAAGACAACTTTTATCCACAAAAGTTTATTAACAAATATAGAAAGCCCAAAGAAAACAAGACGGAAATAACTACGGTCAATAAAAAACCCAGTATATATAAATTTTAACTTTAAAGGTGATAACGTCGCACAAATAATCAACAGGAGACTGGACACTGCTCTATCCAGAACTTATCCGGCTGCTAAACTTTTGACCCTCTATAAAACATGTTCAATAACCCAATCAAAGATCGACAAGCAACCCTTTCATGTTACCGCCAACTGTATTTAAAAATTTACGTGTACCTGCTAAAGCAGCTACATCGGCCGAACTGAAAGGAGAGCATATCTTAGATTTTTTGAACATGTTCCAAAACGTCTTACAACAAGGGAAAGAAAGACTCTGAACAGTGCAATCACCAAACATCTCCTTGATACAGGACATCAGGTACAATCCTTTAGGGTGATTATTAAACAGCCAAACTCCAGTCTTCTGAAGTTTGCTGAAGCCATTGCCATCAGGCGTCAAAAACGTGACCTATGTATTCAAAAGGAGACGGTGGTTAATCTTTCACTGCCCTAGTGACAAATATTCCTTCACTGCACCTTAAAAATTTTTTTATTTTTTTCTTTTGTATTTACTACGTCATTGATTTTATTTTATTTTTTCAACTATCTTTCAAATTATTAATCTTTCAACTAAACTCTACTCACTATATTCCTATCAACGTTTATTCATTATGTAATCAGTTATTTCTAACCTACTTTTGAACTGTTGTCACAATTAATGTTGTAGAATATTCTTTCACATGAGGTATATATTTACAATATTCAGTAAGCAATTTAAACCCATTATGTAATTATGATTTTTAAATATCACAGTTTGTAAGCAGCTGACGAGAACCTACGAAATAAAATGAATTCATGCTATTCTGCTAGAATCTTTGTTCTTGCTCTTTTCATAATTAAAGTTTTTGAACAGCTAAGTGGATACGTATATGATCAACAAGGTGACCTGAAAGCTATTTACCGAAGTTTTGAGACATAGTTGTATAAAGATATATCTCAGAATTTGTGGCATGGAGTTGCGAACCATAATAATAAATTAATAAATAAAGTGTTGAGAATAAACTAAGGCATATATGACATGAAAAACAAGTACTCAGTTTGAGTCGTAAACAAAGTAGTTCGATTTTCAGATTGAATTATTCTATTTTCATCCTAATTTAATAAAGCATATAAAGCTTAATGTAATCAGAACCCAAGAGACATTCTGTACTAGTTGAAATGACAAATGCTTGCAAATAAACTAAAAATAAACCACATAACTTCGATAAATGCATCAATAAATGCCATCCAAAGCAAGTTAAAATTGGAACACTTAACTATCGATTCACAGGGTGAAATAAAACCAAAACAGGATGGCTGGTGACTTCGGTTTTAGGTCACTTCTGATAACATTTGTATATACCTAAGCTGTTCTATCTTTGTGTCCCCACTCACAGTTATGGAGGGTCAGCGATTCCCAGCCAAACACTAGTATAATTCATTCCAAATTATCGTAACATGCCTCTACCGTTGCTTTACTTTTTCCACTCAATTTGAGCATTAGAAACTAGTTCTCAGTATGAAAATAAATGAGATTTCATCCGTGAAATGCATTCTAGTAACAAAAGCCAATGATTCAAAATAAATTTAATGATAGGATGACAGTCTATGTAATGTTTATATAAATGTTTTTGGACCGTGAAATTGAAAACATCATGTCTTCCTCGAGTCTTAATAATAATCAATAGAAGTGAGTGAAGAAAAAAACTCATGCTAAACTTGTAAAGATACCTTATACTTCTATAATTCTCAGCACATACTATGACTATAATTGCCAATCTGAAAAAATATTAGAAATCTGTAATGAACATTATTTACTTTTATTCCCGTCATTAAAATCAACTTACAGCACAACTCTCCACATCAACCGGTAATGAGTCATAATTTCGTATTCGTTTAGAATATTCCCCAGTTTTAGTAAATGCGATGGTGCTGTAGAACTGTTTGTTGTTCGTAAAAGGAACCAACGTTGCCATGCAACAAACAGTTTGAGTTTGTGATTGGTTTCCAGCCCCGTTAATCTGTTTTCCAATCTCAAGTGTGTCAGGATTCATGCGACCAGAACGAGTGACCCTAAGTATTGATGCATTCAGAGATGTATAGAATCCTTGTGGAGGTTTTCTTAATCGATGGATGTAGAGTGGCAATTCACCAATCTTAAAGTAAGAAGACATAATTATAAAGTCAACAGTAAGAATTGTTGGCACAAATATGTGTTGAGCTCAAAAACTGTTGAAATAAGTTTACATATTAAATCTAAATCAGAAAGAGACAAAGACAAACTAACAGGTACTAGGAAGTTCCACGTAATAGTTTCGCCATAAGGGATTGTTCAGAAAAATTCATCTATAATTTTTCATGTGGATACTTTTCATGAAATCTGATACCCTCTAAGCACATAGCTCATGTAGATCACAAAATATCTTGTTTGAATAAATGTTTCGAGTTCTAAGTGAAGCATATCTCCCAAAATTTTTACAGAAGTGACGAAGAAGTAACTTTTAAACCGGTAACGTTCACATTTATGCTTAATACTGAAAACTGTTCAGACTAAATAGTATAAAGTGTTAAAGTCAGTACTTAACTTTGGTTAAAATAGTACAGCTAATCAAATAAAACTTATCCCTCGACTAATGTACATCTAGAAATATTCCAGACCTTTCCGTGTAATTATCAAGGACAAAGTCAGTTAGTATAATTGCAAAACATAACTACTTTTAGAAGCTTATGACTAATTTTCGCAAGCGGATCACAGTGCATCCTGACCGGATTTGATGGCATAATAAAAGTTTGTCAAATGAATAGCAATTTCTTCAGTAACATGAAGTATTATGATGAAAACAAGTTGGTAGCCGCTTTTTGTGAAAGTTGGTCTAACTAAAACGAGATTGTGCACTTTATAAGGTTTAAACAGTTAATTACACGATACCTTCAATAACTAATAATTTAATTTTGCCAAAAGTTTTGAAAGGATAGATATCATTAGCCTAATGGTAGGACACATGAAGAGCACCACATGTTTTAGTTACAACTTCATAGGACATTTTGATGCGAACAAGAACAATTTCATGATTTTTCTGGAGTTTCCAAGCCTTTAGAAAATTTATTAATTCAACAACAGCCTTACTTTCAGGGTTTTAGACGAATATCTTTAGGAAGTTGTACCTTAAGGATAACTGTGACCTAAAATTCCACTACACAACAGCACTATGCAGTAACTTCAAATAAATTTGTGTACTGGACCAAACCGACTGTGTAAGCATTGACATTATCGTTATTACGACAATTTATATCGGCATGTGAGGAAAATTAAAGTGGTCACTATGATACCAACATCAATGCAAAACTAAACGTAAGGACAAAGTTAAAAAAGAGTGAATGGAACTTTGGAATGAAGAGTGGAATAGTATTATGTTCAATATTTATAGGGAAAAAATGGATGTATCTGGGCCGTCATAGCTAATTTCGAATCACTCAACCCCAGTTTACTAACCACAGATTATGGTATTAACCGGTAAAATCTGCAACCCTCCAACAAAACCGTCAACCTAATTAACAGATTTATTTTGTTTATTTGGTACTTAAAGTCTAAATTTAGCATCAATTATTCAGCGGTCACACAATACAGGAATAATGATATGAAAAAATCCCTGATTAAGTGCTAACAATTCACACAACGTTTGACTCTATGGTTCCTTTATTACAATGACATAGTGAACCGCTGTACTTAATAATCACTTTCTAGAAGACGAACGGGTGTTTTAAACTCGAGCTTTGGTAGAGAAAAGTGATGCACGCTTCTCCTATACATGACAATATAAGTACAATAACTTTGACTACTCCTAGTAGTTCATTAAAATTGATTATTAAACACAATTCTGACTTAAGGTAACGTAGTTGGACTGATGAACATGCATGTAACACAGATAAAGAAACTTTTAGTGGAACTTTAGATAGTAGAATAGGTAGGGTAATTTTTATATGGCCCCCAGCTACTCGACGTCAACTGTTTAACCTGTTCACAGTTTAATAAAAATATCTCGTGAATTACCTTAGTCATTCAACATCAACATAATGCTTAGTGTTGCGTTAGTTGGACCCAGTACACCCAGATACCGAAGTATAAGTAGAAGCATAACAGTGATCGTTTGTAATAGCCTATTTTAAATCGATGGCGTGATAAATCAGTTGCATTATTTAATCACAAAAATGAGGATAACTAACCTTAGACCACGTGCCACCTTCAGTAGTGAAACCTTCACCATCGAACAGAAACCCGACCACCCCAATATTGTAGTTTTTGCAAAGAGTGTCAAGTTGTAACTTTTGTAGTGGTGGTAAGTTCGTATAAAGTGCGAAATTTTCGAATATTATTATCCTAATTTGTTCGTTTTGTAAAATTGAATGCAGAAGATCTGAAATATTACTTAGTTGAGCATGGTTCATTGAAATAACATGATGTGGGATCAGTAAGACCTTTATAATATGAACCAAATATCTGCTTGTAGGTGAGGATTTCGAAAGTGTGAGAACTACTATGGAACTTTGACAGCTAATACAAGAATTTGACTGATGACGGACTTTAGTATATATGTTAATTTGAGTTTGAAATACACTTATGTTATGAGAGTCACATTGATACCCAACAGATTTAATCAAAATTGGCTTAAGCTTATCAGATTCCCTTTTAAATGTCCATGTTCCTAGTAACTCGGTATATTTCAGCTCTTGAAATCTCCAAATAAATGCAATTGAAAAAGATAGTACCAGAAATATTGTTATTAAAAAACGAATCCTGAGTTTTAGGTGCATTTTTGTTACGAAGTAGGAACAGGATTCTTTAGGGCATTTCTATATCCTGGTATTAAACACCCAGCAATCCATGCTAATAGAAACTCGACTACAGAAGTAACCTAAAACACAAAACGCATAACATCAGCGAAGAAACGGTGGTTTAAATTTAAGAAAATGGAATCAGAACCAGAGAAATTTATCTAAAGTAACAACATGAAAGGCAGAGAGCAAGCAAACTTGAATTGCATACACTAAATTGATTTCGTATCTAGAATGATGTATCAACATAGAAAACATCGCAAACTATTAATAATGACAGCAATAATTGATGGAATAATCCTACTACTGAGGGTTAATAGGAAATCATAGTGACTATGTAAATATGTTTTATTTGATAGGGTGTAGCGAACTGTTGCCATGATATACTCCAAGGCATTACTACTTAAACATCAGTGTCTGATTTTCATGAACGCGTGGTTACAACGTTACTAGCTTTTTATTACCTATAATAAATCATTAAGTTATGCAGACACTGTGTGGAATGTGTACATCCATTAAGCAATGAAAAACTTTCTGAGATGAGCATTTAATAAAATAAATTTTCATTGAAGTTTAGTTCCATCACCTAAATAAACCCAAAAAGTTGTTGTATTCCCGTAAAGTTTAAAAAACATGATGCTATAAGTTCTTTATGGTTATATGATGACCTGAAAACCATTTAAAACACTTCCAGAAACCTTCCAAAGTTTAGGACTAGGTGTTAAAAGCAAGACTGGAGTTTTGAGTTTTAAGAAATTAATTTTGACTTCAGTTATAATCCGATGCCTTGCCACATTTCCGTTTGCAAACTCAATAAACTTGGGGCTGTGACTCAGAGGAGCTAGGAAGGGAGAATACTAAATGTGGTATCACGACTACGCGTTAAAATACAGGCTTTTCAGGAGAGATCTGTCATAGGAACTAGTAATTTTCAGTTGTCTGGTTAAGCACTACTATAAACTAACTTTCTGGATGCTCAATAAATATTTTTATTGATCCCTAGCATTTTAATCATCAGTTACCCTCAGTTCTCATCTAGTTAATAATAAAATATGAATTTTTATCACTGTAATGTCCAACTCGGTCAGTTGGCTAGAACAGTCACTGGAGAACATCTCTCGATGAGATGCACAAATTCTCGGACCAATTAGCATCCAACTAACTGCATCTCACAAGTTGAAGGTATTGACCTAACCGGTCAATTATTCACTAGGTTTAAATTAAAATTCATGTCTACCTTACCGTGTTACAATATTTGGACTGTACCGAAGCAATAAGAAGCGAGTGTAGAAAAATCGACCGGTTTATGGGAACTCGTGACAAAGATATTGGTAATACGGGAGACAATTTTGAATGTCGCGCAGTATTTAAGGAATTATCTTATTTCTGATTGGCTCACTTAAGGCCGTCAATATATCATAACTTTTCCGTTTTAAGATGATAAGCACACTTATAAATGCTAAATATCGATAATTTAGGCTAAAGACCAAATAACTCTAAACCGGCTATGAATGTACAGGATGATTGTGACGTTGACTTAACCAACCAAATTCAGTGTAACGACTAATGTATATCGCCAAAAATCCTAAGTGCAGTGCTAGATAAGTTGTATGCTATTATCAAGTAATTGAGTATTTACAGCAATTAAATTTGAATCTACTTACAACAGAGTTTGAAATTTAGTCATTCAAAGCCGTATGTGTAGTGAAGTTTTGTCGCTAAAAAAAATCAGATTGACACGGTATAGCAAGAAAGTGGCGAAGTTACGAAAATTTTGCACACATTATGCAGTCACTAAAAACAGTATGCAGAAATCTCTAAAAATTATTCTAAGTATTCCCTAGTACCATTTGGAGATAGTACCCAGTATTTTCAATATTTTCACCCAGACTACCGATAAAGCACTTGAAGGTCAAACTGTCGCGAAATGATTGGTGCGTCACATCGACATTTCGAGAAAATTTTCAGAAGCGGTCAAATCAAGACATTTTTAGAAGATTATTTTTAAAGATTATTAAAAATGAAAGAAAACATAAACTAGAAAGTATATGAAAAGAATGGAAGTACACCGTAGTCATACCTTACCGTAGTAAAACATCAGAAGAAATCAAACGGATTCTAAACAAACATGATATTAGAGTGTATTTTAGAGCGAATAACACATTAAGATCGACATTAGTCAAAGTTAAGGACAAATTAGCAAAGGAAGAACAACAGAACACTGTGCATGAGATTCGCTGTCATGACTGTAATGCTACCTATGTTGGAGAAACATCCAGGCAACTGAATGTAGGATTGAAGGAACACAAACAATGCTTGAAAAATGTTCCAAAATCCTCGTTCGATTTAAAGAAACTTGAAAATAAGTCAGCGATAACGCTACATGCGTTAGAAACAGGGCACAAGATTAATTTCGAAGAGACCAAAATACTTCAGAAAGGTTTTAACACCCATAAAGAAAGATTGACAGCAGAAGCGCTGCATATATGGGCGAACAAGAACAGCCTGATACGAATAGATGGTATTCAACTGGCAACTACATGGCGAATTTCGTTTGACAAGTAAATTTGGAACCTATCTCTTGTTTAAACCTGTTTTTTAATATCACATGCATCGTTATTATTTTTGGAATGAATTCAATGAGTTTTTGAAACAATACAATATGTGTTTTGACATGTACATCGATGTTTCATTATCAAAAAATTTTTTCCACCTTGAACTTGAACTTTCTTTCTTTATTTATTCCTTCATATCAATCTCTCACACATACATACATACCTGCACACTCACACACATACGATTTGTTACTCAGTTAATTATTTCTATGTAGTTGAATTCTTCACATGATTTGTAGTTAACTGACTCATTTGATCCTATTTTACAAAAATCAATATCCAAATATGATTGGTTTAACGCAGTATAATCCTGATTGTTAAAAGTTATATATTTCTTTGATAATTTTGATTCTGATTATTACCCTGAAGAAGTCCAGACAAGTTAGCTGGACGAAACGTTGGAATTAGTTATATTTCAATCGCTGAGAATATTTTGAATATAATTTTCATATATAATGACTTCTCTATACTCGGCGCTCATTCACTGTCAAACTATTCGTTCTAATCTTGAAGAATATTCGTATAAATTTTTAGATTTGAATTGAGTTCAGCCACACCATGTCTGGTAACGTTCATTCTTCAAGTAACGAAGACGATGCCATCGTGATGATGCATGAAATAGGACGAATCTTCAATGATATTATGTTATCTCGAAGATTTACAAGTTGGGAAAACTTTGAGACCTGTCTGAAGGAAGTACATAAGGTAATATGACTTCTGTGGTTAATGATAATTTTTTTAGTATACGCATATTAAGTACGTTATGTCAGTATGCAAAAAGAACAGTGATGACCCAACTCTAAAGTACTTTTTCGTGAGATATGTCCGCACATATGGACGTAAACGCAGTTCGTCAGAGTCAGATGCCTGCGTTCAGGATGTAGATGATGATAGTAATAATCATTCTTCTGAAGAGCATACAACTTCTAACTCGCCAACACAACCTGGGCAAAGGAGACGACGTCGGTCATCTACGTATACCTTACTTCAAATGCATTTATCCTTCAGGTCGAAATATTGCCATTTTCAATCAGGATTTTGGTTCCGGGCAGTAAATGGTGAGTTGAAACTCACCTCTATTAAAACGGTGCACAACCATCCTTGCACAGATGGATATATTTCTGTCGATCCATCGAAACGACAGTTGACCTCAAATGAACGCTTGTATTTAAGAACGTTTCTACTGGGTAATACACCAACTCGTAGCTTACGGTATCTGGTTTCTTGGAAGTTCGATAAACAGCTTATCAAGGACGATATCGCCAGAGTGCGTCCACAGTTGTACCCAGGTTGTTGAACTCACTATTTAATTAATTGAGTTTAGACACTAAAAATATCAATGACATTTTACAGCGAGTTCAAGCAAATACTGAAGTCAAAGTATTCAATGAAAATGGGAACATGTCTATGAATTGCTTCAGCCGCAGAGAGCAAATAACTGTTTACCACGCGCTCTCGGAGGTAATATGTATTGATTCGGCTTATGAGACCAATAAAGTCGGGTAAGTAACGATTAGTAATAAATTTATCTGAAAGTTTTTCAATGTCCAGCTAGTGGTGACTGATAGTCTTGGGCAAGGGCACGCTGTTATGTATGCTCTTTGCAGTCAAGAACGACACGAAGATGTTGAAAAACTATTGGAATGTTTTAAAGAGATAATGTGCGGTACTTATGCTACACGCACTTTCATTATGGATTCGGCAGCGACCGAAATTTCAGCTGTGCAGTCTACGCACAGTCATTCTAACATAATGCTTTGTTCACTCCATGTCCTGAGAGCATTTTTCAGGAAGGTATGTGTTAGCTGTACAAATTATTTTCTGTAGTTCCGAAATCCTGATATACGCGATTGCTTGGAACACCTGGTGAGGAATAGACGGTCTGACATGTGAGCTTCGCTTTTCATAACGCATTATATTCAGATTTACTCAGAAGTACGAACGTCTAAGGACGCATTTCCCACGGGCGTGTGATTACATAAAAGATTACTGGATCGCCAGGAAGTCAATGTGGATTCTCTGTTACCGGCGACATGTATTAAGCCTGGGCAACAACACAAACAACCGTGTCGAAAGTGCTCACAAACATCTAAAAGAATGTCTCAGAAGAGGTGATTCCCTGCTATTGACGTTCTGGAAATTTTGGAGTAAAACAGACATTGACCTACGTTTGCGTCCATATGACACTGTAAAGGATCTTCAACGTTTTCCAATTCTTCAGGTAAGAAATATAGTTAAATGTATCATTAATTCCAGGTTCCAATGTCATTTCGAACTCTTCTAAATGAGTTCACATCTTTTGCAGCTAAAATTGTAGCTGTAAATTATAAACGTGTTCGGACGATGAGACACGAACTTATAGAACGAGAATACATCCGGTGCTACGACAAGGGTATGATGTATGTTGTTGATACTTCACGTGCACGATGTGCTTGTGAGCGTTTCAATGACTACATGCTGCTCTGTGGTCATATTTTGTATGCACATTCTAAAGATCTGATTCGTGGAGGTATGTGTGTTCCTTTATCTCTATAAGTTTTGTAGACTTATTTCGACATAGCAACCGGTGGACAAGAAAAAACATAATGGAAATGGTTCTTCGTGCGCTGGACAACATCTCAATCTCTACAGGGAGTGATGATCTGCTAGAGAAGTTCACTAATAACTACCACTCAATCCATGCTCTTAGTGAACCTTTGGCAAGTAAACTCATCCATTCATGCCTCGAAGCATCGGAAGACATATGCGCACAAGTGATGAGTTCAGTCGGTGCTAATGATGAAGCTACAACGTCAGAATCCATTGTTAATACAGACCATAGCTATGCTTCTTGATAACAAGAAGTTCTAATATTGTAATCCCCTTAGATTTATATAAATTCATTTATATGGCCATTGACTTATTCTTATAGCGTAACGGCAAGGAGTGTACTGTGCAGTCTTATCTGGCTGTGAGACGGGGATATTGTTTCGCGTTCTTGTGTAATAGTTACCAGTTTGGCGCACACGCGATTAGTCATACATACCGTTTACCAAATACTGCTACCTTAAACATGGTGTACCATACTAGTAGTTCGAATTTCGACCTGTCAAGATAGATAAGAATTGCCGTAATTAAAAGACTGGTGCGTTATAAATGAAAACGCTTATTAAAGTTTGAATCTAGCACAAATGATCCATTAATAAATAACTTCTATTTCTTAGGAATTGTTCCCGTTAGGTCTGTGAACACTTGCGAAGCTAGCTGGAAATAAGATAGACAGGAACGTTATTTCAGTATAAATGTTTACCAGAAACTAGTATAAAAACGGAAACCAGTATTCAATTACAGATCGAAAGCGCATTTAGCACACCCTTCCTTTGGCTAGTCAATCACGCTTATTTCCTTTATCTCTTGCGTTGCTTAGGAAAGTATGGGTCACAACATACACGGAATGTATTATTTAATTCTTTGGACAGGTTGCACTTCGGAAACTTAGACGATGAACATATATAAAGACTACTGTGAATTTACTTTGAGTCGTCCTGTGTAACCCGCAATTCTTAATGCATATTCTACTTTAGTCCCACGTAAGTTATGAGTAATTGTCATTTACGGCATCAGCACGTAAGCTAGACAGGCCTTGTTTGATTTCCGAAGATCATCACATAGGATCTCACACAATCTGGCCACCTTAGATCAAGATATCTCGACTATCGAATCGTACTTTTCAGTGCTTTCTCGTGACGGCTTTGTATCAGTATTTATTTATGCTATTAGGTATTTTTGCAATAATACCGGCAGCCAAAACATTGTAGCTCCACACAAGAGGTAGTAAAGCTATCTTAGCTTGATCTGTGGTTAAATATTCACATAATTACACCTCTTCCGCATGATTATGATTTATTTCCTGTAATATAATCATTTGGTGGCTAATACATCTAACTGTAGAAAGTGATATTAACATCTTGGTATGTGTTATTATCATCTTTAGCATTTATATAATATTTACAACACTCAGTTCACCTAATGATTTCACTATAAACCTATTCCTGCCATAAAAGTCGAATAAAACAGTGAAAATCAGCCAAAATTGTGATAAGGGGAAAAACAATAAATCTTAACATGGTTTAGCGGTAAATAAATCCTCAAAATAAATAGCCCTGTAAGTTTTCGACATTGAATGCTGACCATATGTTTTAGTGGACTCATCTAGCTGAAGGCACTCGGTCAGGCATCCGCACCAGATCACGTGTGGTAACGCCGTGCTCAACATCAACCGCAATCGCTAGCCAGATTAGATCAGAGAATTCCGATATTTTGGTTATCGTCAAA